CAAGTCCTCTCCTAGGATGGGTGGGCCCTCTGGGGCATTAGCTGGGGCTGTGCCCCAGATGGGCACACGCGGCTTCCTGGAGGAGACCAAGGGCCAGGTCAGTCTCTAAACAGATACACAGCACATTCTGGAACTACTGCCCTCTTCTCCTCAAGCAAACACAATACAGACACACATGCACACACTCTGAGATGGACGGTGAGACAGCACACTCAAGCAGATGCGCACACTGGCCATGGAGGCACAAGTACCTGGGTCACAGATGTACACTGTATAAAGACAGGCAGGTGCACACCTGCACACTTGTCCCCCAGGAAGGGACCTGTGCAAATGCAGGCATGGACTCATGCCTAAGAGCTGTCATGAGTTGTTCTGAAACCTGCACACGGCGTGTGCACACAAAGGAGACAGACCACCCACACATAAATCTGGGGACAAATACACATTCCCGAATACACAAAGCCCTGACTTTGCCCACTTTCATTACTCCTGTGACTGGGTTGTGAGTTCCTTGAAGCTAGGAATAGTCCATCCCCTCAAAACACCCTGCCCTCCACACAGTTAGTGTAAGCACGTGTGCACGCACACACACATACCTGTGCGTGCACACACCATACACCTCTGCACATCCCCTTGCCTGGGTCTGTTCCCACTTACCCCTCTTCACCTCTACCCTGCCCTGGCCCATTTGGCCTTCCTGTCTGAGGCAACTTCCTCTCCCCAGAGTAACCACAGCACCCCCTCCCATCAGGCTGCCAACCCTGGGTGCCCCCACCACCTTACCAGGAGCTTCTGGGCCCTTCCACACGGGCCACATAGCTCAGCCCCCTCCTCCCCACACACCTGGCTGGAAGCCTTGGCTGGCAAAGCAGCTACTAGCCAGACACCACAGCGATTCCGGAAGGAAAACATTCGCTAGCCAAGAGGGGCGTGTGGACGTGGCAAGGGACCCAGCACTCTGTTTGACCTTGGACCGAGCCCCCTGAGGGGGTCTCTCCTCCCTTCTCCTACCCCCATGCCAGGGCTTCAGGTAGGGGTGAGGTGTGGAGATGACAACTCATAAATAGGTCCTGGATGTGCCCTGTCTCGTCCCCTCCCAGCTGAGTCAATGTCTAAATGGAGCCGTTCCCCCTGCTGCCCTGCTTCAGAGCCCCAGACTTCTGCATGTCTGCACACGCATAAAGCCATGTAAATGCCCGTGTGTGCAAGGGCCACAACTTCCCTGCACTTCCGCTGTGCCTAAGGTGCTGGCTGTCCTGAACAGTTTTGGGCTCTTTGGTGGCAGGGTATGTCAGAGCTTCTGTCTCTGTTGAGTATGCATGCTGTGTGTGTGTGTGTGTGTGTGTGTGTGTGTGTGTGTGTGTGTGTGATGCCAAATGGCTGACTAGTGGGGTGACAGTCTCTGTGGGTGTGTGCTTTTCCTTCTAGGCTGTCTACCACACCGGACAGGGTTTTGTAGTGTGCACTCTGGGGTTTATCAGGTATATGGGGCAGGGTGGGAGGCGATGGTCAGAACTACTGAGCCTGCTCGTGTTCTGGGCTGGGCCATGGGCATCCAAGCCGGGTGTCTCCCTTCCCAGAGCCCCTTCTACTAGAGGCAGACACAGTGTTTTGGCCTCTCTGCCTTCTTTAGGCACTTTTCAGACCCTTTGGTAAAAGAAGTCTGTCCATCTGTCCTGCCAGCCCAGCCTTAGACATGCTCCCGCTTCCCCCACCCCTAGGTGCCAAAAGGTGGCCAAGATGCCAGGCAGCAGTGCCTGCCCACCCTGGGCCCCGGCAGGAGAGCGGACAGTGAGGTGTTACCTGCAGGGGTCCAGTAGGGAATGGATGGACCCCTTCGCGGGTGACTCCAGCCCTCCTAAGCAGGAGTCTCAGGGACCAGAAGTGCAGTGAGGAAGGCTGACTCGCCCAGCCAAGCAGTTGCCCCAGCCAGCAGGAGGAGGAGGGCCCGAAGGGGGAGGAGGAGGAAACACCTCTGCAGGGCCTGGTGCAAAACCGGGCCTGGACCATGGCTCCCAGGGTGTGCCCCACAGCAGCTTTCAGAGAACCTAGAGCTGATTGGGTGAGTAGAACAGGCCCACCTGACTACAGAGGCAGCACAGGGCCTCCGCTGGCCGGGCTGTAGAATGGGCAGAAGCCCCACTCTGCCCAGGGAGTTGCTGATAGGAAATTGCTTTGAAAGCAAAGCCAGACACTTCTAAGAACTAGTGGTAAAGGAGGGATCGAAGACTTTGCAGTTATGCAACCCTAAGCAGATCCCTACTCTGCCACTATGTGACCTTGAGCAGGTCTCTTAACCAATCTGAGCTGCCATTTCTCCCCATGCAAACTAGATAGCAGAATGCAAGAAGCCTGGCAAAAGAGAAATGCAAGTGCCCGCTACAGGCTGGCATGTAGGAGGTGCCAGCACCCCCTCTCTAACCCATAGTCCAATGCCCACAGCCATCTCAGCACCCACTGCCCCGTGTGTCACCGACACTCTGGCCACAGACTAGCAACTCTGTCACCCTTGGTCACATTCTCTTGAGAACTGGACTCTTCAAGGTAAAAGCCCCACACCCTCAACCCTCATCTATGGAGAACTCCTGAGTTTGCATTCTGCCTCTAGGGACATTGGCTTTGAGGCTGAACCTCTGGGACAGTATTCTGCTCTTGGGCAGAAGAGTCACCCCCAAAGGCTTGTTTTGTTTTCCAATACCGAGGTTTTAACTTAGGACCTCACATATGCAAGACAGCTTGGAACAGTAGTCCAATGTCAGCCACTCACAAAGCTTAGGATGGCAGGCATGGACCACGGGCACCTGGCTCCACCTGAAACTTCCTTTATTTCCAAGTCAGCACTTCCGTAAGGTGCCCCTGGCGCTCCAGGATTGCCCCCTCCCTGCCCCATCATCTGTCCAGCCTCTTCTGCAAGCCCTCCCTGGCTTCCTGCTGTCACACTGGCCTCCTCTGCTCTTCTCTCTCAGGCTGTCGGAGGGCTGTTTGAACATGGCACTTGTCATTCCTCAGGTTAGGGAGGCATCAACAAACAGCCAGCCACGAAGTCTCTGAACATGGCTAGGCCTCTACACGCAGCCACTTGGATTCACACAGGCCTAGGCTGCACAGCTGGTCCCCTCTCTGGACCATTCAACCAAGCCTGACCCTCAGATGCCACAGTAAATCTGGCTCTTTTCATCTCTTTTTTTTTTTTTGTCAGTCGTGGGGCTTGAACTCTGGGCCTGGGCGCTGTCCCTCAGCTCTTCAGCTCAAGGCGAGTGCTCTACCACTTGAGCTACAGCGCCACTTCCGATTTTCTGGTGGTTTATTGGAGATAGGAGTCTCACGGTCTCTCCTGCCTGGGCTGGCTTTGAACCGCGATCCTCAGATCTCAGCCTCCTGAGTAGCTAGGATTACAGGCGTGAGCCACCAGCGCCCAGCTCTTTTCATCTCTTGTACCCTTAGAGTCTGGCTAATTCCCTTTCTGTCTCTCATGCTCCTGCCCAGCTACAGGTTCACAGCCATGCTCACTCCAGGCTGGCCTCTGCCCTCCAGGCTCCTGGTGGAGGCAGGGTCCCCAAAGGCAGCAGATCTGAGTTCTACATCATCTGGCCTTGCTCAAGCCTCCACCAGCCGCGTGTTCTCTGTAGTACAGGGACGGCAGCTGTCTTACTGGACAGCTGGAAGGCTTTACACCTTCAGCATCTACTCTACCTTCTTTTCTTTTGGTTGGTCATAGGGCTTGAACTCTGGGTCTGGGTGCTGTCCCTCAGCTCTTCAGCTCAAGGCGAGTGCTCTACCGCTTGAGCCACAGTGCTACTTCCGGTTTTCTGGTGGTTTATTAGAGATCAGTCTCATAGACTTTCCTGCCAGGGCTGGCTTTTTGTTGTTGGTCATGGGGCTTGAACTCTGGGCCTGGGTGCTGTCCCTCAGCTCTTCAGCTCAAGGCTAGCACTCTACCACTTGAGCCACTTCAGGATTTTTCTGTTTATGTGATGCTGACGAATCGAACCCTGGGCTCTTCATGCATGCAAGGCAAGCACTCTACCACTGAGCCACCTTCCCAGCCCTCCCCCACTCCCCCGCCCCGGGCTGGCTTTGAACCTTAATCCTCAGATCTCAGCCTCCTGAGTAGCTAGGATTACAGGGGTGAGCCACCAGCACCTAGCCACTACCTTCTTGTTAGTCAAGCACAATGTCTTTTGAAGGAACTGCCCCAATTTGTGTCCTTGGGCCCCAGCAAGGCCACCTTCTAGGGTGATTGGGGATAGGGGATTAGGGCCAGGCTGCTGGGTTTGAACTACTGCTCCTCTTCCTACTCTATGCCCAGTGTTCATTTCTTCAGCTGAAGAATGGGGTCATGGTATCTACCTTCTAGGGCTGTTGTGAGGAAAAGTCCTTTATTATAAAGCCTGGCACACAGTAAGCATTCAGTGACTTTTTGGGCTTTTCCATGTGGTACTGGTGATGGACCCCAAGGCCTCACATGTGCTAATAAGCGAGTACTCTGCCATGAACTACAGAAGAAGCCTTTCAGCAGGGTCACAGGAAAGCAGCCCGATTCAACAGGTCTACAGGTGGGCGAGCACCCCTAGATGTGTTAGCAGTGAGGAGCCTGCAGGGTTTTGGTAACGGCAGGAGAGTGGTCCCTGACTGACACAGGAAGGTGGCAACAGACAGGCAGGATCAAGGGCTGACAGCGCCTGGTGAGGCAGGCCCAGGGATTTGGCCTGCTAGGCTCCAAGCTCAACTCCGCTGCAAGTTCTTGCAGGAATCATGGGACAGCTCTTGACACTTCCCTGCCTCCGGCGCATGGACTGGAGCCGTGGAGCGGTGGGACACCGGCAGGGGAATGGGACAGCACACATCTGAGCGATACTGGCAACCCCTATGCTGCTGGCACTGGGCAGACTCAGCCACGGTGCTGGTAACCACATCTCTTCCTGGGGGCAGACCCACCAAGGCCACCACCAAGACAAGACTGGGGGATACAGGGGCGACGAAACAATGACAGGCAGCACTCAGAGACTCAAAACTCTTTATTTCCTGCCAGGAAGCCCCTTATAGAGGAGCCTGCGGAGCAGGGGGAGAGGGCAGCACAGGGCCCTTTCTGACAGCAGCTCCCTCCCCTCTCCGATGGCACTGGCTGCTGACAGGCCACCCACACACCGCCATGTTCAGCACAAAACCCCACCTGGGCTGGGCCTACGTGTTGGAAGCCCTAGGAGTAGGGGATGGGTGCTGCCAGGCTAGCGGACACCAGAAGATGGAGTGCAAGTACCCTAGGGTAGCTCAGGCAGACAACCAAAGGAGGCCTTGGGAACCCTCCGGGGAGCTAGGTGCAGACCTTGGGGTCCCACCCCACCGCCCTGGGGACACAGCTACCACCGAAGTGCAGTCCGCCGGGGTCCCCACCCTCCTTGTCTGCACCCGGCCCTGGGTGTGGCAGTGGCAGGAGCTGTGAGGGAAGTAAGGCCCTCCTGGAGGAAGAGGAGGGGCCACAGGGCAGGGGCCTGAGCCCTGGGGAAGAGCAGGGGACTTCTGAGCAGCCTGTGAGACACACGAAACACCCATCCTAGCTTTCTATCCAGCCCAGCCCAGCCCCCCTGTAGCAACCCTGTCATGGGAGTGAGGGGAAGGGGTCTGTGAGCAGAGGGGCGTGGTCTGGCAGCCATCACCGCAGGTTGAAGACCAGGCTGACGGTGAGGATGATACCCAGGAGGAGGACGAAGGGCAACCAGGTCTTCACGAAGGCCCCGACACTGACATGAGAAGCACAGTAGCGGGGCCAGGTGAGCCCCATGAAACCCCTGGAACCATGCCCTCACCCCAGCAGTGGTCCGCCAAGGGCAAGGCCCCACCTGATGTGGCCAGAAGGACTGGTAGGTTTCTGTGTGTTACCCTCTTTGGGGCTCACTGGCTGGGCCCACAATCACCCTTTCCTGAGGAGAGGTCTCTAGCACGTCAGTGTACATGTGGAAGCCAGAAGCACCCCATGCCACAGGGAGGCATGGGGTGCACAGGTATTCCTGGAGCTCACTGGAGCCGAAGTGCTGAGAGTCAAGGGCCTGGCCTGGCTTCGACCCTGGCTCTGCCTCAGTGTGATGACAGCTATGCTCTTCCCAGGGGACCTCTAAAAGCCTTCCTGGGAGGAAAGAAGACCCAAGAAGCTTGGACAGGGGTAAGTCAGATTAGTCCAGGACTGAGCTCCCAAGCCCGGGCTCTGCTATGGCCATGCTGGGGGACCACAGGCAAATTACTGAGCCTCTGAGTTCTCTACCCCTTGAGCAACGCCCCCTGTCCTTTGGATTTTTGTTTGTTTTTCAGACAGGGTCTAACACTTTTGCTAAGGATGGCTTGGGACCTTGATCCTCACACCTCCACCTCCCTAGGAGCTGGGATTACAGGTATGAGCCACACCCAGCTTACTTTTTTCGTCATGTTTTTGTGTACGTCCTCGTCCTGGGGCCTGAACCCAGGGCCTGAGCACTGACCCTGAGCTTCTTTTGCTCAAAGCTAGCACTCTACTATTTGAGCCACAACTCTACTTCCGGCTTTTAGTAGTTCAGTGGCAATAAGAATCTTATGGATTTTCCTGCCTGGGTTGACTTTGAACTGTGATCCTCAGATCTCCGCCTCCTGAGTAGCTAGGATTATGGGTGTGAGCCACTGGCACCCAGCCCAATTCTCTCCATCTTCGTATCTCAGCCTTTTTATTTTTTTATTTTTTGGTCAGTCATGGGGCCTGAACTCTAGACCTGGGCGCTGTCCCTCAGCTCTTCAGCTCTTGACTAGTGCTCTACCACTTGAGCCACAGTGCTACATCTGGCTTTTTCTGCTTATGTGGTGCTGAGGAATGGAACCCAGGACCTCATGCATGTAAGACAAGCACTCTACCACTGAGCCACCTTCCCAGCCTAGGGTCTAACTTTTTGCCTGAGATCCTCTTTTTTTTTTGTCAGTCATGGGCTTGAACTCTGGGTTTGGGTGCTGTCCCTCAGCTCTTCAGCTCATGGCAAGCACTCTACCACTTGAGCCACAATGCCCACTACAAGCTTTTTCTGTTTTTATGTGGTGTTGAGGACTCGAACCCAGGGCCTCATGCATGTAAGACAAGCACTCTACTAGTTGAGCCACCTTCCCAACCCTCCAAGATGCTCTTGATCCCTACTTCCTGGGCAGGAGGGACTACAGACATGTGCTGCCATGATGGGCTGTAAGTTCTCCCTTTCCTATCACCTGGGACTGTCTTAGAATTCACAGGTCAGGAGGCTGTGGCTTCACAGTCCCATCTAACCCTGTAGGGGAAGTGACCATCCTGCCATCTACTCACACTGCCTCAGCACAGGGCTCTGGAGACCCACAGCTTCAGACTCATACTGCCATTTTACCAGGGACAGCTGCAGCCGGGAGGCTATGGAGGTTATGTAGTGCCTGATGGGGGCACTCTGACCATTTGCTCTCCACCAGGAAATGAGCTTGCCATTTTAGAACTTTCATGGCTCCCACGAGCAGGCGTCCTCATTGACTGAAGGGCTGCAGCAATGGCCTTGCGGGGACCCCTGGAGGAGCAACTAGAGGGGTGCGGCAGGGGGTGAGCTCACCTGACGTATTTCCCATAGAGCAGGCAGAAGAAGCAGAGCGTCACCATGTTCCAGTTGGTGCTGTTGTTGTAGCGCATCAGGTTCAGGGCCAGTGCCACGTGTGAGTGGCAGTTGTCACAGCAGAGATTGTGCTGGAAGTGCGGGAAGGCTGGGTGAGGACGGGCAGGGGCCTGGGCCTGGGCTTGGTGCCTGCTGTCCCCGCTCACCTACCATGCGGTGCTTGTACTCCTCAGAGGCGTCATGCACGGCTGTGTCCCAGGCATTGGGGCCGCTGGCATAGACCTGGGCAGGGTCCAGCTTCCAGTACCTGAGGGGAGATGGGGTGCGGGCACTGCTCAGCTCCCCGCAGCCCCCTGGCTCTATGGAAGTTCTGTGACCTGCTGTGTGCCTGGCCCTGAGCTGGGCGCTGAGGCTGTGGGGGTGTCAAGTCAGGGTGTGTCTCCTAGCAGACAACTGTAACACAGGGTGAGACACCGAGTGCTACCTGGAAGCTAATTCAGCCCCAGGGCTGATGATCTGAATGGTGGGGACTCCTTTCAGACACTGAAATGCTACCCCTAAGGTAGCAGTGTTAGATGCAGCCTTTGAGAAGTGCTTAAGAGTCACGGGGTAGAACCGCAAGTTCTTACAAAGAGAGGCCTGAGACCCCTCGACCTTTTTACAATGTGAGGATACAGTCGGCCCCACACCTCACCGTGCACTGCATCCACTGGCACCTCCATCTGGCCTTCCTAGCCTCTAGAGCCGTGAGAAATTTCTGATATGTATGTACCACCCACTCGATGGGATTTTGTTATAGAAATCTGAATAAAGACAGAGGGTAGAGCCAGGCACATACCTATAATCCTGACTACTTAGGAGGCTGAGATCTGAGGATTGAGGTTTGAAATCAGTGAGATTCTTATTTCTAATTAATTAGCTAAATGCCAGAAGTGAAGCTGTGAATCAACTGGTAGAGCACCAGCCTAAAGCAAAAAAGCTAAGGGTTAGTGCCCAGGCCCTCAGTTCAAGCTCTAGTACTGGCATGTGTGTACAGGTGCGTGCATGCATATGCACACACACACACACACACAAGGTATGAGGAGGCTTTTTGGAGGTAGCCCTTGAGTCTAGGCTGAAAGAAAAGGGAGTTAGCAGGACAAAAAAAAGGAGGTAGGCACTGAAGAATGTGGGAGGCAAAAGATTGCTCTGGGCCTCAAAACTTAAGTGGTTGAGGATCAGCTACTTATGAGGGAAGGCTTCTGGAGAAATGGAGTGAAGGAATACTTGGGGGTAAGGCAGGAGATGTAGCAGCACGCTAGTCACATGAGAGCTACGCCAGGTAGGGGTGAATGTCACATGACTCTACCCATCAGCAACATTCTCCCCAAGCTTCCCCATGTGGCTTGCTGCGGTCAGTGGAAGAGAAGCCCATGAAGGTCAAGCTGGACAGGCAATGGAGTGCCCCAGGGGTCACAGGCCAGGAGTGCTGGGATGTCAGAGCGCCCTCTGGCTGCTGTGCAGGGAATGGCTTGGTGGAGGAGCCTGGAGACAATGAGAAACCACCAAGCCTGAACTGGGGCCACTTAGGTACCTGGAAAAGGATAGTCTTAAAACTTTCTTCAAGAAATACAAAACAAACAGACCCAACATGTTGCCTTTGAAAATCAGTCTAGGAGCAAATATCCAGCCCAGAAACCTGATGTACGTGGCTGCCTAGTAGTGTCTGTCTCTTTCCCATACTTGTCCTCTGGGTGCTAGCTCCTGCCATGCCCAAGAGCCTGGCCTGTTGCTCTGGGCAGGAACCTGGCTCTAGGGCCAGTCACACGGGTGTTCAGGACTTACTTGGCAGGCTTTCCAAAGGCCATGTTGTCTTCCTGTTGAGAGACAAGAGCAGAGGTCAGTGGGAACTGACATGCCGGCCGCATGACAAAGCTGGGTCAGGGGCTGAAGGACAATGATTCGGAAGGGGGTATGTCAGGGATAGGAAGTTGGGCATGAGCCAGCTCAGGGCTAGCATGTTATCTTCAGTGCCAATAATAGCTTTTGGAGGAAAGCAGTGCAGCACCCGAGGAATCCCCTGGCCCTTGCTAGGCATCATTTCTCTTAAGTTCTCAGTCAGTCTCTGATTGCTGATCACAGTCACGTTTCCTTTGTGGTGTGACCTCCCAGTCCTACAGAGACAGCTCACATGGAACTTCTACCTGGCAGCCTGACACGCAGTGTAGGATGGGGCTGCTGGATCTATAGAGCCTTCCCATGAGGAAGACCTAAACTCATCACAAAAGACATGGGTTATGGGACTTACGCAGAGACAAAGACTAGGTTCAGAACCCAGGAGACCCTAAAGATTAAAGAGCTGGTTGAAGAGGAATTATAAACGTGTATGATAGTAGCTGGGCATAATAGCACATGCCTGTAATCCCAGTATTCAAGAGGCTAAGGTAAGAGGATCACAAATGGGAGACCATTCTGGGCTATGTAAGACCTAGCCTCAAAAACACAACAAACCAACTGACCACAAATAGACAAGCTTAAAAAAAAAGCTGTATTTATAACCATGAAATTTATACAAATTCAACTTTTTAAAATACAAATTCAACATTTTTTCACTAATGAAAGAGTGTTATAATATTGTTTAACATCAAGGAGGAGACACATTAATCTCTACGTGAATTTATTTTTTGTTGCTGTTGGGTTTTTTTGTTGTTGTTGGTTGTGGGGCTTGAACTCTGGGCCTGGGCGCTGTCCCTGAGTGCTTCAGCTCAAGGTGAGTGCTCTACCACTTGAATCACAGTGCCACTTCTGGTTTTCTGGTGGTTAATTGGAGATGGCTTTGAACCATGATCCTCAGTCTCAGCCTCTTGAGTAGCTAGGATTGCAGGAGTGAGCCACTGGCACCTAGCTAGGTGAATGTTTATAATTACTTTGCCCTGAGTAACAAAATGAAACTAGGTTGGACTAGAATATTTATGATTACATACAAAAGTCTAATTAAAAATGTGAAAATGTAAAAAAAATACAAAAGAGGTCTTACCCTATTAGGATGGTTATTTGTACCTGGAATGGTCATTAGAACTACTAATACAAACAGGCTGTTTCCAACACATCCCTTCATTCCAGCCTGGCAAGTGGAAGCAGGCAGATGCCTGCGCTCATCTGGAGAAAGCCCACTGGGTAGACCAGTCTTGGGCCATCCTCAGGGAACAGACCTGAGAACACAGCTGTTTATTTGGGAAGCACCACCCCAGGGACCAACCATGTCAGCCTCCCCTGTCCCCCACACCTTGGCTCCCACCTTCTGAAGGTCCAGAGATGTGGTTCCTGGATGGTCTGACTCCACTCTTGCCTCTAACCCCTACCCATGTCTTGGTACCCCAGGGATGGGGGCAAAGAGCTGGGCCAGTAACTTAAGAATCCTCTGGCCACACTGCCCTCCCGGCCTGTCCTGGAGGCAAGAGAAGGAAAGGGGTCAAACACTGGTGAGGGGCAGAGGGCTAGAGCCAGGGTTGTGCATTATTTGCATCTTTGTGGGTCTGGGGAGATGGGCCAGCTTTCCATGTAAGTCTTGGAACCCTCCAGGTCATGGCAAGAATGAGACTCACCGAGACAAAATAGGGGCCAGCAAAGTCCCGAATGACTCCAGTGGATGTGCAGATGCCCATGTGGCCGATGATGGGGAAAAACCACCTGTGAGGAAAGAGGGCAGGGGGGGACAGTGCTTAGCGGTCTCCAGTCAGTTAGAAAGATGTGGCGACACTCTGTTGTGGGAGCCTGTGACAATAGCGTCCTGTGATGAGAGTCCATTACAGTGCTCCAGGGTGGGAAAGCATGAGGACCATTGAGAACAGCACCCAAAAGATACCGCGACACCTCACCAGGAGACCCCAAGCAAAGGGGCCAGCCGAACTCTTACTCTCTGCTGAGGAACAAAAACAGCTCCTACCAATTTTGTTGTTGTTGGTGGTGGTGGTGGTCGTGGGGCTTGATCTCTGGGCTTAGGCGCTGTTTCTGCACTTTTTGCTCAAGGTGAGTACTCTACCACTTGAGCCATAGTACCACTTCCACTTTTCTGGTGGTTTATTGGAGATAAGAGTCTCAGGGACTTTCTTGCCTGGACTGGATTTGAATGGTGACCGGTGATCCTCAGATCTCAGCCTCCTGAGTAGCTAGGATGACAGGCGGGAGCCACCTGAGCCTGGCTCGGTGCACCCCCCCCCCCCCCACTCCCCACCCCCGTTGTGGGGCTTGAACTCTGTCTCTCAGCTCTTCAGCTCAAGACGAGCACTCTACCACTTGAGCTACAGCATTTCTGGTGGTTTATTGGAGATAAGTTTCACAGACTTTCCTGCCCGGGCTGGCTTTGAACCTCAATCCTCAGATCTCAGCCTCCTGAGTAGCTAGGATTATAGGCATGAGCCACTGGCCTCTGGGTTTTTTTTAAAAAAACAAAAACAAAACAGCCAGGCAGGGGCTGGGAAGGTGGCTCAGTGGTAGAGTGCTTGCCTTGCATGCATGAGGCCCCAATTCAATTCCTCAGCACCACGTAAGTAGAAAAAGCCAGAAGTGTGGCTCAAGTGGTAGAGTGCTAGCCTTGAGCTGAAGAGCTGAGGGACAGCACCCAGGCCCAGAATTAAGGCCCCACAATAAAACAAACAGCCAGGCAGAGCGGGGTGCTAGTAATCCTGTAATCATGCTACTCAGGAAGCTGAGATCTGAGGATTGCAGTTCAAGCCAGCCAGAGCAGGAAAGTCTGTGAAACTCTTATCTCCAATTAACCACCAGAAAACCAGATGTGTTGCTGTGGCTCAAAGTGCTAGAGCACTAGCCTTGAGCAAAAAGAGCTCAGGGACAGCATCCAAGCCTTGAGTTCAAGCCCTAAAACCAACCAAGAAACAAGAGATCCACACACTCTATGTCTTAGTAGTTCACCCAACAAAAACGAGAGCTCGTGCATACCAAAGCATGCACAAGAAAATACATTGTACTTTATTGCAAATAGTTGCAACCTTTGTCAAAACTCATTGAACTTGGAATGTGTAAGGCACAGAACTGCAAAAAAACACAAACAATAAAACAAACAACAAATCTTTAATGATGTCTACTAAAATATGTGCTTGTTACTGTATATGAATTACCTTAATAAATTTGCTTATAAAAGAAACTGGTTTCTATGTCTTACATTAGGGTCCATCTGAGATTTGTTTGTTTTTTGTACTGGGGTTGGAACTCAGGGCTTGGGAGCTGTCTCTTAGCTTTTTTGCTTAACACAGCTGTTCTACCACCTGATTCACAGCTCCACTTGCAGCTTTATGTTGGTTAACTGGAGATAACAGTCTCATGGACTTTTCCTGCCGGGGCTGGCTTCAAACTTCAATCCTCAGATCTCAGCCTCTCGAGTAGTTAGGATTACAATTGTGAGCCTGTAATGTTAATCTGTATCTCATAAATACATATATAATTACAATGTGCCAAGATTGCTGTTGTTGAATCTGGTTCTAATGTCAAATCTAGGTTGAGTCTCTGTTTTGGCCAAGTTATTCACTCTCATCTCTCAGTAGAAAGTGAGTGGAGTGTGTGTGTGGGGGGGTGTGGAAACAGTGAGGATTAAGTAGGATCTGCTTGCAAAGTGCTTAAGACACTGCTTCATGTTTGGTACTTGTTCAATGCTGTTATCTCAAGGAAGTCAATAAATACTTGCTATGTGAACTGTCAACGAGTTATCTGAAAACCATCTGGTCCCAGGATGGATACTCAGATTTATGAAAAGGTTGCTCCCTTGGCATCTCAGACCCCGATCTCAGGACCTCGCCTGGACCAGACTCCTTTCAACTGGCTGGAAGAAGGTCTGGCTCTCACCAGCATTCCACACACAATTGTGTTGGGCTGCAAACAGAACTCTTGATGGAGGCTGGAGATCACAGCAAAGCCCTGTGCCCAGTGCAGCCCCATGGAAGAACTCTCTTAAGTTGTCAGTCTGTAGGCTCCACAAAGGCAAGCTCCAGACACTTTGTAAACTATACCAGATCCAGTACAAATGAAGTCCTTGATAAAGATTTAGTGAATGAACAAGAGAGTTACTAATCCTAGAGGTCTCTTTGGGGAGTGTAAAAGCCCTTGTTGGCTCCTAAGCCTTTATTTCCTCATCTACATGTAAGAAGATAATGTTTACTTTCATGGATTGATGCAAGGACTGAAAGCCCTCAATGATATAATAAAGTGATATTAATCTATGACATATAATGTTTAGGTTTTTTTCTTCTTTCTTTCCTTTCCTTTCCTTCCCCCCCCCTTTCTTTCTTGTCAGTTATGGGGCTCAAAATCAGGGCCTGGGCACTGTCCCTGAGCCTCTCTGTGCTCAAGGCTAGCACTTTGGTTTTTGGAGCTAGGAATCTCACAGGGACTTTCTTGCCTAGGCTGGCTTTCAATTGTGATTTTCAGATCTCAGCCTCCTGAGTAGGTAGGATGACAGAAGTAAGCCACTGGTGCCCAGCTGTTTATTTTTTTTAGTAGCAACGATATTCCCTATTTTCATGCAGAATCATCACTGAACCCTAGGGGAGCAGGCAGATCTGAGGATTTAGTCTTCTTCCTGGGCCTCCTTTTGAAAGACAGATGACAATTCCTTGTGCCACACCTATTCCTAGCTGTCAGCAACAAGGCCTTGCATTACAAAGGTGAGTTTAAGGCCTCTCTCCCATCAGCTGGAGGGTGAGTCCTCTGAAGGGAGTGTACAGCCTTCAATGGGCATGTGGTGTCTTCCTCATCTAGACCTGAAGAGAACTGGGAGGTGAGCTGCTTCTGGCCCAGGTGACATGGAATTGTGGTGCTTCTACCTCACATTGCTACCAGTTCTCTGCAGTGAACCATATGATAAATGTTTTGAAAATGAGAAGACCAGAGATTTAAAAGTAACATAATAAAATAACTTTTGCAAAACACATCCCCTGAGTATTCCTTCCATTTATTGTCACATTAACATTTTTCTCCATAGCACAAACTACTATCAGAAGTTTTCTTGTGAGTTACTTATTTACTGCCTCCTCCTTTATGAAAGCAAGCACTCCACTGGATAATTTTATTGACTATCTGAGCACATAGGAATCACTATTGACTATTCAAAACAACACTGAATTTATCAATGAACACATATTCTTACAAGTTTTGTGTGTTTTTTTGTTTTTTGTTTTGGTGGGGTCTGAACTCGGGCCTAGGCACGGTCCCTGAGCTCTTTAGCTCAAGGCTAGCGATCTACCACTTGAGCCAGAGCACCACTTCCAGTTTTTCTGGTGGTTTATTGGATATAAGAGTCTCATGGACTTTCTTGCCTGGGCTGGCTTTGAACGGTGATCCTCAGATCTCAGCCTCCTGAGTAGCGATGATTACAGGCATGAGCCACTGGCACCCAGCACAAGTTTTATTTTTAAAGGGCTTTGATTTGGCTTCTCTTAAAGAAATGTACAAGTGGGCTGGGAATGTGGCTTAGTGGTAGAGTGCTTGTCTCACATGCATGAAGCCCTGGGTTCGATTCCTCAGTGCCACATAAACAGAAAAAGCAGAAGTGGCACTGTGCTCAGTGGTAAAGGGCTAGCCTTGAGCAAAAGAAGCTCAGGAACAATGTCTAAACCTCACTGAGTTCAAGCCCCAGGAATAGCAAAAAAAAAGAAAAAAGAAAAGAAAATGTGTAAGTATTTGAAAACAATTCAAGATACTCAACATAATGCAAAAATTAAGATCATTTAGCTGGGTGAGATAGGGCATGCCTGTAATCCTAGCACCCCAGGACTAAAGCAGGATGGAGAATTTGAGGTTGATAGGTACCACATAGTGAATTGTAGGCCAGCAACATATAAAGTCCAACATGATCCCTTCTCTACACAACCACTTTGCTGTATTTAATTCATGTTAAAAGGGGAAAAGAAGAAGTAAAGCTATAAGTGGCAAATTATACAGCCAGAAGACTGTGTTCTGAATGCCTTTGCTTCAGAGAGAGAATTCTAACCAGACTCAGCCATTACAAGAAGCTCAGCTTTACCACAAGAAAAGACAATTTCTACCTTAGAAAGTAGTTGTGGCTCACATCTCACCCTATCAGGAGTCAGGATCAAGGTTCAAAGCCAGCTTAGACCGGTAAATCTAACTCTTCATCCCCAAGTAACCAGCAAAATGATAGAAGCGGAAGTGTGGCTCAAGTGGTAAAGTGGCAGCCTTGAGCGAAACAGCCAAGCAAGAGCAGCTTGAGGTCTTAAGTTCAAGCAAAAGTTCACACACAAAGAAAAGAAAAAGGAAAATCAAACTGAGATTCCAAGCGAAAAAGCTTGGCAAACTGTCCTGAACGTCAACAAGCAGTTCTTGTCACCTGTCAAGGATGAAGTAGAAGGGCAGCAAGCAGCACCGGGGCTTCTCTCCGGTCGAAGACAACGAACCTTCCGACCAGCCCCTGGTTTGGAACTGAGACGGTGTAACATAACGGACTCACAACTCTCAGACCTCTGCGCCCCGTCTAATGCAGACGTCCCAGAAGCTGGTGGGCCGTCAAACTCCCACTCGTGCTTCCAGACTCGGGAGGATGTCGCGTCGGCGAACGGTAAGCATTTGCTCAGTGAGTGAATGGGCCGGTGAATGAATGAAGCGAGGGGCCCCTCTGCAGGACACCTGCGGCGCTCCGGCCGCGCGGTCCCCGGCCATTTCCGCCGATCACTTGGCTCTCTCCAGCCCTAGGCCAGGCACACCGCGGGTCGGGAGGGGGTCCCACCGTCAGCGGGCGCGGGCCCCGGGCGGGTGGCAGGGGTCTGGAGAACGGAGGGGGGCGGGGAAGGGCTTGCTGCCTGTCGGGGCTGGGGTCTGATCCCGGCCCGCCCAAGGACGCCGCCAGCGGCCCGGCTCTCCCCGCGGATCCCCAATCCCCCAAGCAGGCACCGGAGGACACTTACGTGAGCACCGGGATGGGAGTCCACACCACGCAGTAGGGGAAGCGACTCCGTTCCACGTCCATGGTCACGCCGCCGGAGCCGTGGTACTGCTTCATGTCCGTCTCGGCCGCCGTCGGCGCTTCCACTTCCGCCATCCCGGGAGGGGGCGGCGGCGGCGGCGGCAACAGGAGCGTTGAACTCCCTTCCGCTTCCGCCATGCTGCGCGCGCCCCGGGAGGCCCTGTTCCGGCGCCGCTCGTTCCCGTGACGTCACTTCCTGGAGGTGGGTCCCCCGCGGTTGGCCTTCCCCCCGGGAATTGGAGCCGCGTTCCTCCGGGCCCCCCCCCCCGCCCCCACCTCCGGCCCACCCTCCGCGCCCAAGGCTGTGCCGGTCCACTCTGCCCTCAGGCAGCTGGCAGTTGCCTAGAATGAGAACCGCGATGAACTCCAGTGTGCAGGGTTGGGCTTTATTGGGCATTTTAAAGATGCCAAGCATTGCTTCTCATTCTCATAAACATTACACATTTAGGTATTTCCCCCTGTTACCAGTGAGAAACTGAGGCAGGGACGAGGGGAAGGACTCCAGGGACAGCGACTCAAACCCACGTCTTTGTATCTCCTTTGTTCTTTTCATTCTGCGTCTTCTGGCAGACTAAAATCTCGTGCCTGCGAGAGGGCGAGCTAGCCAGTGGAGCAAGGAGATAAGGTATTTATTTGAGCTGAGTCTTAGAAGTTGGCCAGGTGGCATGGGGGAGGGGGTGGATGCAGTGGTGCAAAGAAAGTCAGGCCGGGAGGAGCCCTGTGTGCAGAGGAGTGTGAATATCACCCTAGCTGGAGTAAAACACCAGCCCTTAGATGTGATAGGATTCCTTCTTTGTTCAAATGGGAAAGCTGAGGGTCGGTGGAGATAGCAATTGTCTGAAATCACACCCAGTAAACCAGGAGGCCAGGCTCTGATCTTGGGAGTCTTGGCTTTTAGAGACTGTCCAGATGGATAAAGGGGGCCTGGTGGGGCCAGGTGAAAGGCAGCTGTTCAAAATCAGGCAAAAGGAAAGGATAGACAAATGCACCAGTAAGGTTGGAGCTCACACCTTTTGGGAAGGTCTTTCTTCTGTTGAATTATTCTCCCTCAATGCTGGTCCCCAGAAAGCCTGTGGTTCTGTTTTGGGCATTCATACTTCACTGCATTTTTTTGGAGTATCTGTGCTATAGAACCCCCCAAATCCTGGACTTTGGTAGCTACCACAGTTTCTGGTGCAGAGCCAGATGCAATAGGAGCTATACCTAGACAGATTGAATATTCATTAAATGTTTATTTTATCAAATGATTCAACAAATTGATGTCTTCTAAAGACCTCACAGGTATCACAACTAAAAAGGATTCTGACCCACTCAGAATTCTTTGAGCACATTTGCATTTCTCCCATGACCCTGTGTGGTCTGTGATCCTTGGAGGGCAGTAACCAGCATCCAGCAGAGGGCTTGGAATAGATTAGGTGCTCAGTATACAGTTGTCAGATAAATAAATTACATTATTTCTTGATTAAATCACTGTAGTTATCTAATCTGTCCTGTACCACAGGCTCCAAGGAAGGTCTGTGTCTTAGACATCCCTCCACCATCACTGTCAACCCAGGTGCCCTTTAAACATTTATTGCAAGGATGGATGAAAAAAAAACAACCAAAGTAAGTCTCTCAGGGTCTACTGCAAATTTGATAGTACTAACATAGTACTAAATTTGATCTGACAACCTTCAGTGGCCTCCCATTGCACTTAGTATAAAAGCATAAATATCTTGTGGATCCTACTGTCTCTTTCATATCTAGGGACATGATGCATACTGTACCTCTCTGCCTGAAATGTGTGCCCCACCCACTTCTATCCATCCTTTGAATTTCAGATTAAATGTTTTCTTTCTTTCCTTTCTTTCTTTTTCCTTTCATTCTTTCTTTCTTTTGTAGTGGGGATTGAACTCTGGGCTTGGGCACTAGCCTTGAGCTCTTTAGCTCAAGGCGAGCACTCAACCACTTAAGCCACAGTGCCACTTCCAGTTTTCTGGTGGTTAATTGGAGATAAGTCTCACGGACTTTCCTGACCTGGCTGGCTTTGAACCATGATCCTCAGATCTTAGCCTCCTGAGTAGCTAAGATTACAGATGCCCGGCTAAAAATCATTTTTCTTAAAGAGCTGATTCTTGGTCTTCCAATGTACATTAGAAACGCTCTGCTAATTCCTCTTGGAACACTTGGTTCTTTTTCCTCATAACACATATGTGGCCATGTACTGTCTGCCTTCCCCACTAGATTAGAAACTCCTGGGATGCAGATATTTTGTGTTACTCATCTGCAAGCTCTATGTCTAGTATAGCACATGATATTTAATAGTAGCGCAATTGCATGAGTGGCAAACACTTTCAGGCTTAGCATCACACACTGGGTATAGCCTGAGGACAGGATGCTAGCTTGTCATCTGTTACCTCTGAGCCATTTTTTTTCCTATTGTGGGGCTTGAACTCTGGGCACTGTCTCACAGCTCTTCAGCTCAAGGCGAGCATTCTTCCACTTGAGCCACAGCGCCACTTCCGGTTTTCTGTTGGTTTAATTGGACATAAGAGGCTGATGGGCTTTCCTGCCAGGGCTGGCTTTGAACTACGATCCTCAGATCTCAGCCTCATGTAGCTAGGATTACAGGTGTGAGCCACTGGTGCCTGGCACCTCTGAGCCATTTTAAGGTGTTCTTGGAGGTTCTTACCAGAGCCAACTCTATTCCCTCTGGCCTGCTTCTTCCCCCCTTTGGTCCAGGCAGCTGCAGAAGCAAAAGCACAATGATGGCTAGGTTGCTGGAGGCAGAAGCCAGCTCCAACTCTGACTTCCTTTCTCTCAAGCTGGTCCTCCATAACAACAGGGCCCCTTCTCAGACAACATCACCTTGCTTCTCACCCAGTCTAACAGCCCCCATGTCCTGTGCCCTGCCTCCTCTGCTTTTGCTTCTCTTCTCACCCCTAGACAGATGGGAAATCGCCATCAAAGACTAACACTGCCTTCCAGGCTCAGAGGATCTCAGCAGGGCCCTGGAAGAAGCTCCTCTTACATAGAGAGCTTTGGGACAGGATTGATAGGGTTCAGAGCTACCCATCCCCCAACACATGCTCAGACCAAAAATAGGAATGACCATCTGGATCCACTTATGGGGCTAACTGGGGGAGGGGAAGATGGCAGAGTGGGAACTATCAAGCTGGCAAGCCTTTGAGGGGAAGATGCCGTTTGTTTGAAGGGTGAGCTTGGGGCACTATTTATTTTGGGGGAAGTCGAGGTACCCCCTCAGTTGGCCCCATGTATGAGTCCCTGTGGTTCCTCTCTCAGGCCCTCTCATTCATTCTGGCCTTCAAGGCTCCCCATGGTCTGGTTCCACATTTCCTTTCCAGGTTCACCTCTCACTGCCTCCCCCTGGCTTCTTGGAAGTCAGCAACCCTGTACTTCATACCTCGTGTCTTTGCTCACACTGTTCCTTAATTGGGAATGCCCTTCCCCTCCTTGACTACACCATCTTCAAGGTTTCACACAAATACTCCCTCTTGGCTCCCAGAGCACGAAGACTATGTTTCCACCTACTGAATATTCATGTGTACTTGCATTAGCGTTAGCTGTTTACAAGTCTGTCTCCCTTAAGAGATTGTGGACTCCTTAAGAAAAAGATCGACTGGCTCTACTATTCTCTGTAGTCAGCAGGACACCTGGCAGATCTCAAGTGCCCAGGGAATATCCTGCAAGCTATTTGTTGACCATAAGAGGAGAAGGGCCTCCACTAATCCCCCCTTACTCTGATGATGGGCTGAGCCAGGGGGCTGCCATGCTGCAGGTAGAGAAGCTGCTGAGTATGGCACAGGGTAGGGCACTTGGGAGGGCAGTGTCCTCGATTTTGCAGCCTTTTGGTCCAGCTCTATTATAACTTTTCTTCCCTCCCCTGGAGGATACTGGAGACTGGAGAGCCTCCCCCCCTTCCATAATTGGGAGGGATGCCAAAGTAGCCACTATATTTTGAGAAATCAAGTTGGGCATCAGTGGCTCACACCTGTAGTTCAAGCTACTTAGGTTTGAATCTAAGGATCAAGGTTCAAAGCCAGCCCAGGCAGGAAAGTCTGTGAGACTCTAATCTCTAATTAACCAACAAAAAGCTGAAAGTGGAGATGTGACTCAAGTGATAGAATACCAGCCTTGAGTGGAATAGCTAAAGAACAGTCCCCAGGCTCTGAGTTCAAGCCCTTATTGGGAGTGGGGAGAGGGATGTGTGCACGCACGCACACACTCTCAAAGTAATCATTTGACAATTGCCCCTCTGATTCTGTAGACATTAGATTCTACATCCTCTTCATTCTCTTTTATAGATGGACAGACTTTTCAAAGGTTATAGAAAGTACAGCTAGAACCAGAATTGACTTTAGTATAGGTAGTAAAGCACGAAGTTCAATGTGTAGACTCAGGAGTTGTCAGTCAGTGGGGCCAGAACCTTAGCTGTCACACCTTAGGAAAGTAGCCGAACCAGCAGGAGAATCAGATTCCTCAGCTCTAATATAAAGAACAATTTTCTTGTGGTTTTTGTGAAGCTTGACAGCTTACACCTGAATGATGCTTGGCCAAAATAAGGGCTTCAGTGGCAGACATTGTAGCAGTTAAAACCCCACATCACTGCTTCAGGACCCATAAACACTTCAGAGCACTTCAGTGTGCATACGCTGTGATTTGGAGCCTCCTTACCACACAGCAAGATGAGCAGAGCTGGTGATTCAACATCCATTTTACTGATGAGGAGAAGGTATCCAAAGGGGTTGAGGCACTTACTTAAGGTATAAGCACTTTTCAGAGCTGGGGTTCAGACCTTACCTGTCTCTACTTGGAATCCCTTTTAGGGCCAGTAGTGAATGATGGAGACCAGTCTGAGAAATCCACATAAAGTAGGTATAAACTATGAATTCATTAGGACCAGGACCTCTTTTATTAAAGACATGATTGAGATCAGGAAGGTCTATCATCATGGCTGTCAGAATTCTTTCCCAAGGTCTGACTTCTCTGCCTGACGAAATCTGGCACACAGTGGGACACTTCAATGGTGACAGAAAGTACTAGAGAGAAAACTGGGTGCCATTGGTGGCTCACATCTATAGCCTTACAATTATTCAGGATGCTGAGACCTGGGGGACCACAGTTAAAAGCCAGCCCAAGCAGAAGAGTCTGAAAGACTAAAA